TCATTCTTTGAGTTGAAATGCATTTTTTTATTTGAACCCATAAGCATAATTTATTGAAAAATAAAAAAAAATGTACTTCTTTTTATATCACACCAACTTTATATTAGATCTCAATTTATGTTTGAATCAAAGGTGAAGTACAAGAGAGGTGTGGCATAAGACAATTACTAAATACGAACTGTGATAAAGAAATGGAGATCCAAATAAAGTCGTTTATAAATTTTGCTAAAGAAAAATAAAGAAGACAAGGACATCACCCATATTTATCAGAATACTATATCTCTTTTAATGGCTCTTCTTTCAAGCCTTTACTTATAATAAATAATATTAAGAACACCGAAACTAAACGTTAACACAACTAGAACTTCTCAAATTCTTATACCATAAAAATATTTCAAAAGATAACAGTATCATATCTAGCAATATATATAAGCCAAATATTAAAGAAACGGGAAGGAACCTTTTGTGAAGATCAACAAGATAACAGCTACAATTAACTGATTTCAGAGTTAAAAGATGCTAACTCTTCAGCAACCTCGAACGAAAACCTCGACGTCAAAACTTCTTCAACTTGTTTGAACAATTCAAGAGAGAAACGATCATGGGAAAGATAAAGGAATTCTAAAAAAAAACTAAAGAATAGCTCTTTCAAAATACAACTCTTTTTTTTTTTTACTACCGAAAAAAATCCCCCAGATGTTTCTTTGCTCCAAATCTCATTCTTCTTCTTTTTCTAGTTTTCCTTTTGTTTTTCAGATCCCCCTTTCTTTGGTGGAGAAAATAATATTAAATAGCAAAGTTTGTTGGATGGTTCCTGTCATCTCCCCATGAAAATCGGGTATCCAGGTTATAGTGGGTGCTTTTTTTGAGTACAGAAGAGGGGATCGTGAGTTTTGTGTGTTGTTTAAAGTTCAAAAGTCAATATGTGCATGGTGTAATTTTGAGGGGAGACGAGGGAGGTGGGATTAACATGAGATTTATTAGGGAGTTAGTTGTGGAATAGGGAAGAATTTTCTTATCCTTTTTGAACATAGAAACCAATTACCAAGACTACTTAATTAAATATTAAAATAAAAAAAGCAAAAGAATTATTTATACTAATATGAAAGAAATTATTCAAAAAGAAAATCACTACCTACTAAAGCCTATAATAATAGAGTATGTACTTATTTGAACAACACCTAAGTAAGAATATTAATTAACTACTTTAGATTAGAAAGAAAAAGGTATTAGTTAATTATTTTTAGTTTAGAGAAATATAAGAAAATAAATTAAATATTTAAACTAGAATTTAAATGACACTAAGAAAATTATTAAAGTCACTGGATTACTTATTAATATANTTTTGCCAAATGAATTCTACTAAAAGTGAGATAAAAGTTTAAAATATTAATATTAGATCTATAGAAAATATTTACACTAAAATGATAAAAAATTTGGGTGTGGTCAAAAATTAGTTGTTCACAGGGGTCAGGACCAAGTCTGAATGTCAAAATCAAAGAAAAATCCATACTCTAAGAAATTTGCACTAATGCGACGCACTATGCGGCGCACTATGCGATGCGCTAGTGAAAATCTCTGCTGCCTGTCAGAACAAGCTCTCTGAAGTTTTCCACAACCGCCTCGCCTGGCACGTCGCCCCATGCAGCGCGCCTGTGCAAATTTTACAGAGTAATTTTTCTATTTCGCATAGGAAAAGGTATTTTCATTTGGGCCCGACCCTACTTGGTATATATACATGGAAAAATATTATTTTTAGGACTTTTGACACATTTAAACCTAAGGAGGCTAAGGAGAAGTGGGAGAAGCAAGAGCACAAGGATTTCATCATTCAATTCTCACTCAAGACAAGAGTTTGGATCGTTTATATTTTCCTTTAACTTAAACTTATTTGTCCATATCTACGGAGTAGTTCCTTTTAGGGTTTGATGGATTTGGTGTATTGATATTTGTTTATGGATTATAACTCTAGTTCATGTATTGAATCATTTTGGATGTTTTAATTGTTGCATCTATGTTCACTAGTTCATTTAATCGAGAGAGGCATAACTTGTGATATTTTTGCGTTATATCTTGTTGGGTGAATTCATTAATTCTTCTTAGTAATCGAAAGATGCTAGTTGAATTGTTGATTAAACCTAGTTATCAAAATAATGGAAAGAGGTTTTCCTAAAGACCAATCCACTATGCATTCTTGCATATCTTCACGTGCTTAAATTGGTTCATCTCGTGAGGTTAAGACTTAATCGAGAGAGGAGTTTTTGTTGAATGCTTGTACTAATAATTGAGTGAATTCGAGAGACTCACTTAAACATTAGAAGCGAAGTATCTAGAGTTAGATCCCAAACAATTATCTTGTACTTATCCTATCAACCCTTGTTTTCTCCCATTAATATCTTCCTTTGCTCATTACTTGCATTGATTGTCATTAGTCAATAGTTTAGACTCTTAGTTAATTTTAGTTTTTAATCACATAATTCTCAATTGTTGATCATCTTGGATAGCAATCAAGTTATAAACTATGAAAATACTGTTTAACTCCAATTATTATGGATACGATATTATATTATACTATATTTGACTAGCGAGTATATTAACTGTATGTTTTGCGATCGTCAATTCCCAAACCGTAAAAAATACAAACCTCAAGTCGTGACCTAAACCGCCATAGCTCTTCCGGAATCCATTTACACAAAAAGGCCATTTGAATCATATACCTCCTAAATCAATCAAGTTATGGTGGCTGTCAAGCCCGCACGAACAACCACAAACCACATGTATGACTTCACACGCCGAAGGAACTGATCATTGCCACAATCATGCCGACTCAACCATTACTAACCGACCCAAATTCTTTAAATTTACCCTTGACCTAACTTATAAATGTAATATATCCATTCACAACATAACGAACTCAATCTGCACTCATCCCGAGTGACCTAAATCGCGAGACCACATCGTCTCAATATCCATGAATCATCTCATACCTCCTTACGCGCACAATAGCATCTCCAACTGATGCACCCATTCTGCAAGACCTTCCGTGAGTCTGAAACTATTTCTTCCTTTCCGCTAATACTGCACTTTAATTCTTGAACCCACTAGGACCATGGTCGACAGTCACCTTCTCTAACATAGTCCCAAATACAACCAAACTCCAACGCTCTACTAGCACATGAACACCTTCTCGAAGAAGTAACCGGTTGAACTCTTTTCCTTGTACATCACATCCACAAAAGCATAAGCTCTGAGTCTTCCCAAAAACCTGAACATGCTTCGATAAAGCCAAAAATAGCACACATCCATCAAGTTCTTTGCAGAATTACCCTTGATGTTCCCTTTTTGTAGTCATAAATAATCCGCCAATGCACCGATAATCGAAAACTGCACAAACAGACAACCACGTGATCCAATCGTAAACGGTGGAGATCCCCCATTTAGCTTTAAGCTATCATCACATAATGCAGAGCCCCCAACGATTCCTCCTTCTCAGTTGCCATGATCTCGCACCGTTAACCCGCCAAACTTCTCGAAGTCTTTTGTTAAGCTTTTCATGAACATTCTGAATCAGTAGTCACAATCACATATTCAACCTCTTACTGGGTAGCAAGTAGTATTCTTCGCAGAAGCTTCATCAACATCACGCAATCGCTAACCTGCTTATAGGAGATAACCCACCTGTGAAATTCCTTACCGGCATCTTCCAATGACGCTGCACTAGGTACAACTACAATGTAATTAGTAAATTCTCCTGAGCCCATGCTCGCCCACCAGCTATATAAGCATGTTCCTTCGCCATTGACATCAACTGAAAGTTCAATAATACCTTCCAAACTCAAATCATATTGCATCAGAAATGATAATCAAATCTTCACACCCCTCTTCATTTCAAGAAACTCATTTTTGCTATATTCAATCTTTCTTCATACATTAACCATCGTTCCAAAAAAAATCCGTAGACTAAATCACCTTCCATCACGACTCCCAAACCATTCTACACTTTCTCAAGGTACGTGGCTCTCGTACCGCAGAATCCATATGCTACTCTGCCACTCCCACTTCGGTCAAACCATCTCCTTTAAGCAACTTCCTGACCTCTATTGTTCATACTTGACCTGCTAGTAATTCAACTACCGCGAGACATTTTCCGCCATATCCTCCCTCATACTTTGCTATCAAACTGTTGCCTTATACCAACTCCCTATCTTTAACACCAGAGCTAATGAATTTCCACCAACTACAAACCTCCTATAAGATCATCTTTCTCGAGCCATCAACAATAAAAATACCAATTCGATTCTAAACCGCTGCACACCGCTATCTCTGACAACCCTCATTTCAAGTCATTCATTGCCTCAACACATAAATGAGCACCCCACCATTACATCATTACTGTGCGATAACGACGCATGAACATCATAGCAATCTGTGCATAGCCTCAAACCATCGAAAATACAGCTACTGAGCTGAAATGACAGAACATCCTTTCGTAAGGCGACGATAATAGCCTGCCCGAACACACAGGGAAAATATCCTGCACCACGTCTGTAGTACCACTACAACTCCTCGATGCCCAACTAGTAAAAAGTGCTTCATGTTGCATGAGATTGAGTAGGAAGGTAATAAAGGCACAAGCCTCAATGTAATCAAATCGCACAATGAGGAATCAAGAAGGGAAGTTCTCCTAACAGTCCTATAGCCTCTCGAAGATAAGTACAGACGTCTTCGTACCGATCCGCAAGACTCTACTAGACTTGCTCATGACTCGTGATACCTAACCGAACCTAACGCTCTGATACCAAGCTATCACGATCCAAAATCCGCAAAAGGTTGTAATGGCACCTAACACCGCCGTCAGGCAAGCCAATGGTGATCTAACAACTTACTTACTCATATTAGTAATTGAAATCAAAATTTTTCCTTAATTAAATCGTATGAAATAGATTTTTTTAAAGAGTAAGTGATAATATTTACACAACTACAATAACAAACAACCAGCAGAAACCCCCAAAACCCAGTGTTACAAGTGTATGAGCATTTTTCTAAGGAGTACAAGAATAATACAATAGTTGTCCCGAATGTAATAAGACAAAATAAAATAATTAGTATAATGGAGCCAGTGGACTGCGATACGTAGTCTGGAATGCAGCTCACATGAAGTCTCCTCAATAGGTGCGCCTACACGCCAAGATGATCATCAAATGAACCTGACAGATCCTGCACATTTAGTGTAGAAGTGCAATATGAGTACGTAAATCAACGCATACCCAGTAAGTATCTAGCATAACCCCGGAGAAGTAGGGACGAGGGGTTGACATCGACACTTAATAAAGGTCCAAGTAAATAATATGATAATTCATGACAGATATGAAGTGCACAGTAATAGTGGAGTAAATCTGTAATCTCATAATTTTCAAATTATTTCCTTTAAAGCATAAATTTCTCAATCTTGTATTCTACCTTAATATCTCTGTAAATGTCAAGTGTCAACATCAAGGAAATAAGAAATGCCATAAATGTCGGGCATCAGTGGAAAGATTAGCTCGTGAATATTCAGACTTCTAGCGATACAATGCACGATTCTGCTGAGGTCGTTCGGCCCGATCCGGAATAATGTATACACTACCGAAGGTCGTGCGGCACGAACCATAGATGCATCTATATACTACCGAGGCATTCGGCCCGCTCCACAAGAAAAGAAATGAAGTTACCGAATTATGAGGCATGTGTTTACAATATCGTACATGGGTACAAAATGAATATAATCTTTACTGTTTCTCAAATAACTCGCCCACAACTCAAAGTGTTAAGGCTTGTCCTAGTATACATATATCTATTTCTAAATCAATTTCATCTATAACTTCAATTAATTAAGCCAGCAACATGAGTTCAAATAATTCAAATATTACAAAATAAGATCCTAAGTCTAGCCGGACATAAAACATGCTTTAGCTTCATACAGACTCTCATCACCTCGTGCGTACGAAGCACCCACAACTAGTTGCACATAATAATAAATATGACATAAGGGTAGTTTTCCCCTCACAAGGTTAGACAGGAGATTTACCTCGTTCCGAAGTTCCATAACCGGCTCCAAAGCCTCTCTAACACCTCGAACCAAATCATGTCGATCCAAAACTATTCAAACAGTGTGTAACCCAATCAAAATATATTCTAATACCCATAATTAATCAATTTAAACAATTCATAACCCCACTCGAAAAGTCGATAAAGCCAACTCTCGGGCCCACGTGCCCGGATTCTGAAAATGTTCCAAGATAAACTTTACCCATAACACCACGAACTCAAATATATGATTTATTCCTAATTCCATGTCTAATTTCGTGGTCAAAATCCAAAAATATCAATTTTTAGGTTTTCTTCCAAAATCCCAAGTTTCTACTAATTTCCATGCTTAAATCCATATACAACCCATGTATTTAACTTGTAATAGGTGAGAATCACTTACTTTGTGTTGCTTGATGAAAGTCTCCCCTTGAAACTCTCCAAAATCGCCCCAACCAAGTAAAAATGAAAGAAAAAGGGCCAAATCCCGCTTTTAAAATAACACCTCTGCCAAGACGACTTTCCGCACCTGCGGAACACCAGTCGTACCTGCGGAAGAATCCATCACAAGTGCGGTTCCCTCCAAGCCAGGCAAAATCCGCTTCTGCGGACCTATTTTCGCTCTTGCGCGACCGCTTCTGCGGTCCCCCACTCATGCGCTTCCGCACGTGCGGATATCCCTTCGCTTCTGTGACCCAACTGTCTCTCTCGTTTTCCATTTCTGCAGCACCCTTCGCATCTATGGGCTCGTAGATGCGGATATAGCCTCGCATATGTGGCCACCCCAGCTCAGTCCAATTGTCGCTTCTGCGGCCCCAACGCCGCACCTGCGGGCTCGCACCTTCCCTCAATACACAGGTGCGATTGCACCAACAATTGGCCAACACTAGCATTCCTCAACGTCAAATTTTTTATCCGATTTCAATCTGAAACTCACCCGAGGCCCCCGAGACCTTAACCAAACAAACCCACGCATCCCAAAATATATTACGAACTTAGTCGGGGCCTCAAATCTCGCCAAACAATATCAAAACTACGAATCGACGAACGAAATCCTTCTTTAAGCTTTCAAATTTTTAAACTTTAACGAACACATCCGAACCACACCAAAACATTCTAGAAAGATGTCAAACCTTGCATACAAGTCATGAATCACAATACAAACCCACTCTAAGGCTCGGAATCCCAAACAGACATCGATAACATCAAAGCCTACTTCAAACCAAACTTAGGAAATTCTTAAGCCTTCAAAATGCCAACCTTCCATGATAAGCACTGAAATGCTCCCGGGTGATCCGATACTCAACCCAAACATACGCCCAAGTCCAAAATCATCATACGAACCTATTGGAGCCTTCAAATCCCGATTCCGAGGTCGTTTACTCAAAAGCTGAATCTTAGCCAATCTTCCAACTTAAAGTTTCCGAAATTAGAATTTTCTTCCAAATCAACTCCGAACATCCTAAAATTCAATTCCGACCACACGTACAAGTCATAATACCTAAGAGAATCTACTCAAGGCCTCAAACTGGTGAACGAAGTACTATAGCTCAAAATGACCTGTCGGGTCGTTACATAAATATAACTACAATATCATACAGCTTGAAAACAATTTTTTATATAAATTTTATACAATATGTCTTTTGTATATTTTGTATCTGATTTATACATAGTAAAACTAAATTTTATGCAACTAATTATATATTATACAACTTATATACAACTTTCATGCATTATTTCTACCCAGTTAAATACAACTACAATATCATATAACTTAAATACAATTTTTAAATAAATTTTATACAATATGTCTATTATATATATTTTGTATCTGATTTGTATATATTTTTCAGTGGTGTGTGCTTCTTCCTCTCTAAAATTCCAATCAAAAGTTACTCTCTTAATACAATTTTGATACATATCAGCAATTTTATGTAAAAAGATAGTATTGATAACTTAAATACAAATTTTAGACAACAATTCATACATTATACAACTATTTTTCAAATATCATACAACGTTCAAATAAAAAGGTAATCCAAAAAGACTGACCTCAATAATGTATATATAACTACAACATAATATAATTTACATAACTATAATATAATTTTACTACAATTTCGTAAGTATATTGTATGTCATGTGTTCTTCTTATTCTTCTTCGAGTTTCAATTTAAAATTTAGCTAAAATCAAGTCTAATCTTCACCAAAACAGCCTCAAAATTGAGATATAAACTCCAAACAATATTCTCAATTGTTTGCAACAACACCCAATCCAAACAAATAATGGTTTGTGAAAACTCAAATTCGATTTCAAAGCTTCAAAGCTTTTTAATGGCTGTCAATGGTAGAGAGTCAAACACATTCAAAATTTATAATCCTACAGGGAATTAGGAGAGATTAAAGTCTCCGCATGTGCTATAGCCAAACTAAAGCGAAGTGAATCTTCAAACTTTGCAATTTTAACTTCCTTGAGCATTCATCTTTTCAAATCATAAACTGATATTCCTTATGAGTCTTCGGGCATTGCAAGAGAGAGAGAGACACATGTGACCAACTAAAGGGAAGTGAATCTTCAGGCTTTGCAAGAAAGAGAGAGAGACAAAGATAGAGACATAGAGACTGAGAGAGACTGACGGTGAGAGAGAGTGAGCAAGTATAAAAGGATAAGGAAATAACGAATATTCCTTATTCAATCTTGATCTAAAGGGATGCTCATTTAAAACTTATTTTTATATAATTGGTAAATTGTATATGACCATGTAATTAAATTGAAACTTAAGTTGGGAGGGTAATAAGGTTTCAAATAGTGTATAGGAAGGTAAAAATTTCCTAAAAAAAAGTCATACTCTCACTAATGACCAAAATAATGATTTTAAACCTGGAAATAAAATTAGTCTTTTCCAGTTGAACAAGTTGAATATCAGCTCATGGATCTGAAACAAAAATAAAGAAAATTAAAATAACAAAAAGTTACAGTCCAATAAGTACAAAGTAACATCACCAAAAAAAAAAAAAGGCACACTATAAGAATAATCCTAATCTTAAAATGACTATAGGTAAACCTATTGTGGAGATTAAAAGGCATAACACTTGAAAAGGAACAGAGAGATTAATTAAAAAGATTAAAAGAAATTGATTGTCGATGCATTTTTAGCACACAAATTGAAAAATGAGGAAAAGGGCAAAATTACCTAGAGATGAATTTGGAGAGAAGAAATTGAAGTTGACCTTCATATAAGCAAATCTTTTGTTGATAGTTTAGCATTAGAGTGTAAGAGGAATAATGAACTTTTTCTAGCCTATTTCAATACTATACATCTCAAACCAAACAAACAATTAGCATAGATGAAAAATGGGAATTGTTTGTACTTACTGTAATTTTTCTATTAGCCGCAAGAGAAAATAAATAACCAAAACTCAGTATAAGAATGTTACGTAAATGCAATTTCTTGTCGACAACAACAAAGTTTCAAATTCGCTGGAACTACCACCTAGAAAATATGATCGCGCTTTGATTGCAGTCATGAAACTCACCGTAAAAAATCTAACTATAAGATATCTTAAAACAAAATCCATAATTTTGGAGATTTACCATACTTTTTATTCCTCGACAGCCAAGAAACAAGGTAAAGCACAATCCCTCTCTTTCATATTGCGGCCTTTCTGCAATAAAATGGTGGTAAGAATTGGCGTAGCTTTCCTTTTGTAGTTCCATTCAAATAAAATAGGCTGAAAGAAGAGGAAATAGCGTTATTTTTTTTCTAAAGGAAAAGACGTAACTTATTAAACTAAAGAACAGAAGAAGACGAAGGGCTTATTAAAGAACAAAAGAAGAGGAAAAGGCGTAAGTGTAATCAAGACTATTCATGGGACGTGACTTTTCGGGTTTTTTAATTAGCACATTAAAAGGGATATATGAGAAAAATGGCAAAAAAACGAGAAAAAAGATAAAGGAGATTCCCCTGTTCAAGAGATTGCCACGTCACCTTGCCTAAGTCTCTACTTTATATAGGTATATAGATATAGATTCAGAAGGACACGCATAAAGGGATTAAAATACACAATTTAACTAATTGAAGGTTATCTAAAAGAAAATCATAATATCATCGAATATTCACAAAGAGATCAAGACGCGGACAAACACTTTTTGAAAATCAAATACTTCAAAGATCTGCAATATCCTTTAATGGAAATCAAAAGAGTTCCACATTATTCTACGTTCAATGAACACATTGATCTAACTCTCGAATCACAAAGAACAATTCGAAAAGAAGAATCAAGGGAACAAGCATAATTGCAGTCACATTATTTATCAATAAATTTATTTTTTTTTATATTTTATTTGTCAATGTAACTAGTTTTTCATATCTCAAAAATTTATTGAAAACACCTCTTACACATGTTAAAATATAAAATTAAAAAAAAAAACTAATTAAAGGTTAAATATATTGAGTGGTATATCACAAGAACCAAAAGTAGAATTTCCTAAAAATTAAGAGATCAAAAGTGCTATTATCCCATTGGTATTTATTCATAGATTGAAATCATAGATCTCATTCCTCTTTATTCGGTATTTTAAAAAATTATTAAATAGCCATTTTTAGGTTGGCTATTACAATGTAGTCATATTTTAAATTGTATTAGCAAAGTAGCTACTTATTAATGCGAAAAAGACAAGTCTAGATAAAACTACCCCTATCTAAAATATGGAAGAATTTCATGAACAACTACTGAACTTTGAATATTTGTAAATTTAAAATTCAGAAATTTTTCATGAAATTTGAATGACATGAATCAGTAGCTCTTAGTTGTTGAAGTGTGGTGTGTATTCGAAAACCATGAATTGTCATGTATTTTTCTGGATTTCGCACTAGTAAAGATTTAAAAACTAGTAATCCATCCTGAATTTTGTTTTTAAAGGTTGAAATTATTAAAGTATAACGTGAATTTAAAAACTATAATCGTTCATGGATTTTTTTGGATTTTGCACTAGTAAAAGTTAAAAAAAAAACTAGTAATCTATCCTGAATTTTGTATTTAAAGGTTAAAATTTGCTAAAGTATAATGTAAATTCAAAAATCATAAACAGTTCCTGAATTTTTCTGGATTTTACACTAGTAAAACTTCAAAAATAAATAATTTATCTTGAATTTTGGATTTTGCAATAGTAAAGTTGAAAATTGTTAAAGTACAATATGAATTCAAAAACAAAAATTATTCATGGACTTTGTCTATTAAAGGTTCAAAAATCAGAAATCGTTCTTGGATTTTAGATTTTCCACTAGTAAGCTTCAAAATATCTTAAATACAATGTGAATTTTAAAACTAGAAATCGTTCCTAGATTTTGTGCTAGTAAAGGTTAAAAAATCAAAAATCGTTCTTGGATTTTAGATTTTGCACTAGTAGGTTTCAAAATTGCTGAAGTGCAACGTGAGTTCAAAAATCAGGAATTGTTCCTGGATTTTTCGCTATAAAGGTTCAAAACCAGGAATCGTTCTTGGATTTTGCACTAGTAAAAGTTCTAAAATTAAAAATCGTTCATGGGTTTGTAAATTCAGCAAATCTTTGAATTCCACTATAATTCACTGGGCTTCCACTTGTCAAAGCATCGAACTCCAATACCGATTATTGGAGTTGTGTTCCGTGTTTTAATTGAGGGGGGTGGGGAGGGGGGCAAACATCAATTTAATCGAATCAATGGCTACTTTTCCATTAGAATTAAAATTTGGTTATAAACTCTAATAGCCGGTCCAAAATGTGGCAAACCCAACTAATTTTTACTTTGATTTTTGGGTTCAAGCCCGTTGGCCCTTCTACTTTCGCCAGTCATACCCATATTTAACTATGGGCTCAAAAGACGATCTGGCCTAGAACTTGCCCTCGCTTGGCCCACCTAACCAAAAGTCTCAATCTTCTTAGCTCTTATGCATGTATATTTAAATTTTTAGATGAATTAAATCTAAATTGGCATTCACCCAATTGCTTAAATTAAAAATAATTGAAATAATCGCTTACATAACAACTTTTATATATATATATATATATATATATATATATATATATATATACACCTAAATTTTAAGGCGGATGCTATAGGTAAAAGGTCCAAATATATCCCTGATCTATACGAAATGGTTATTGAGCCGAGAGTCTTTCAGAAACAGCATCTCTATCCCCGCAGGATAGGGGTAAGGTCTGCATACACATTACCCTACTCAGATCTCACTTGTGGGATTCCATTGGATTGTTGTTGTTGTTCTATACGAATTGGTTATCTATGACCTCCCTAAATAGAAAGATTCAACACACAGTCCTTGCAGTCACACAACTGATTTAAAATGGATTTGCGGGAAATTGTTTGAGACTGATTAATTAGTAATTAGCCCTAAACATTTGCCATGTGGCTTAAAATCAAACCCATATGTCGAGTTCAAGATACAGGATGAAGAGGCGGCAAAAACTCAAAAGTAGCAAAAGAACTAAAGAAGAAACTGAAAGAAGCCCACTACATTAATATTGGGCCAAAATGGAACTCGACTTTCAGAGTTGCTTTACAATTATGAAACGAGAAATGCATATTTTTAGTCACACCCAATAATAATAATGGTATATATATATATATATATATATATATATATATATATATACACACACTAGTGTTAGTGTACGCGCATTCCTTTTATCAATGTGCCCAGACTTTTAAAAGTCACGTAAATAATATTGAAAAAATATATTTGGGTTATAAAATAGAATCTAAGAAAATAAATCATAAATTTATGAAAATGGTAAATGTTAAATTGTTGACCCTATTTAGCTAACTCATTGAAGGAAGAAATCATGTCTTATAGAATTATCCAATGTTTATGGATTGTAAATATTAATGAAAATGTGTAGAAGCAAATCAAACTAAAAATATATTGGCACTTAAACAGACCACACCTAAGAAAATAATAAACTAAATGCATGCATATTCTTGAAAATTTTATTTGGAGTTATAATATAAAATTAAAATTATAGCTAGACATTTAAAGTTAGAATATATTGTGATTATAATATTTGATATGGAATTGGATCCATATGCAACGATGATAATAAAATAAAATTAGTTCAATATGATTTTTAATTAAAATATTGTTACTTATTAAGTATGCATATCTTATTAAGTTATACCACATATAAACATCTTTATTTAGAACTAACTTTTGAATAATCGAACGGCACAAAGAAATTAGTAGCTTTTGAGCTATTGACCACATGAATAGAATAGAAAAGAATATAAACTTTTAATTAAAAGAAAGAGCTGAAACGGGAAAAGGAATAAAAAGGAATGGGTTGTTAATGAAGAATCTAAACTCTAATAACAATTGTTTTGAAAAAAGGATTTTAAAAAGTGAGAACTTAATTGAAAAAAAAGGATAAAATCAAATTAGGTAAAAAAACAAAACCAAACTGACAAAGAAACACTAAAACTAAACTCATTGCCATTAAGTTTGTTTTGAAACAAAACACACGAAATATAGTTTGAAAGAGTCTTGTTATTTTACATATTCAAATAAGGAAATAATTTATAAAATGTTAGATTCTAATTGATTTAAAAACCCTAAATATTAGGATTTTCTATATGGTTCAAACAAGGAAAGATTTAATAAGTAAATTTTTAGTTGAATTCAAAGTCTTAAATATTAGAAAAATAGCTAAATGCCTATTTTGTCTAATAAAAACTCTATTTTAAAAGGATAAAAAAGGCGAACGATATTTCACTAATGATCTTCATGCTTTTAATATAATATAGATATATTAGCTATCGGATGTAATTAGTTTGGCTGACCGGCCAATTTCGTATTTGCCAATATTATGAAACATTGGAACTTCAAGGGACATGTCATTTAAAGCAGAATTTGTGTACTGAATCCCCCTCAGCCATGTAACAAAAATTCGATTTCCTTTGAAATTCAGAAAGTTTAGAATCTCGTTAGTCAAACACCTCGGGGATCTTGATGCCTGCTTACTATAAGGTTTATTTAATTCCTTGCTGATCATCTGCCTGAATAATTTTTGACAGAGATTGATGAGTGATTATTATCATAAAAAAGAAAACAGAAAATATGCTTGTCGGGATGTCAATGTAACCACTACTATAATGAACTTCAATTACATATTAATCCTTCGTAAATCACTTATTTTATGCATTAGCATGTTTGACCAACCTTCTAAAATCGACTTATTTTGAAAAATACTTTTCTTAAACGTGTTTTTCAAAAATGTACTTTTGGTAGCAGAGCCAGAATTTTCATCATGGGGTGTCAAAAAATAAATAATTAGCTACATCGAAAAGTCGAGGGAAGTCAACGTATAGTATATATACATAAAATATAAAAAATTATCTAGCAATATAGTGTAATTTTTCGGCGAAGGGGGTGTTGCTCGACACCCCTTGGTTCAATGTTGCTCCGCCACTGTTAGTAAGAATCAGTTTGTGTTTGACTAATTAATTTGAAAAGTACGTTTGAGTAGCAATTTGTACGCTTGGCGAATTCCACATCGACAAAATACGGGAAAGATGTTGCGTATATGTATAGGGCAATATATGTTCATAATAAATACTCGCGTAATGTAGCGACACGTGGAATCGGAGACAGATGGAAAGCAAGGCAAATGGAAATCATGTCCGAGGGCAGCAATCTCGGTTGTCTCCGAAGGGAATGCTACTCATAAAGACGAATAAAGGCCAGCCACCCGAGAACATTCAATGGAGAATAT